GAGAGAGAGAGAGAGAGAGAGAGAGAGAGAGAGAGGCAAGGCGTCTTAACCTAAAGGTGTTGAGAACAGTTTACAGTCGGCTTTCAACAAAGTTCATCTGGTGTTGACCCGGCCACTGGGTATCGGGCCAGATCTGGCGAAGCCCTTCCGAAATGTGCCTGTCAACAATTGTGAGCTGGTGAACTATAACAAGATTTGGAGGAAATGACATACTTTACATAGATGATTTCCAGGCCATCCTTGACTTCCTGTGGGACGTCTTTGACGTCCTTACGGTTGTGGTCCGGCAACAGCACGGTCTTGACGCCCGCACACAGAGCACCAATCAATTTCTCTCTAATGCCGCCAACAGGCATGACCCGGCCGCGGAGGGAGACCTCGCCAGTCATGGCGATATGCGGTGGGACGGGCTTGTTGCTGAATAACGAGATCAGGGCAACAGTATGGGCGAGACCAGCAGATGGACCGTCCTTGGGGATAGCGCCAGAGGGGCAGTGGACGTGAAGGCTGCGGCTCTTCATAATATCTTCACTTGGGTCGTGGGTAAGACCGAGCTCGAAGGAGTGTGCCCTCACCCATGTCAAGGCTACTTCGACAGATTCCTTAAGCACGTCGCCCAGCTTACCGGTTAGCTGAACGCGTCCGTTACCGGGCATGTCTGCAACCTCGATAAACAGAATGCTACCCTGGCCACCGGTAGAGTAGGCGACAAGGCCTGTGACCACACCGGGGCGACCGTGTTTCTCGGCGATCTCTTCTTCGAATCGCTCAATTCCAAGGATCTCCTCGAGATCGTCGAGTGATACAACAGGGTTGTATTTGTCTAGGCGGCCAGCGTCCCCGGCGTCGGCGTATTGAACGGCCTTGTGGCGACAGATAGAGCCAAGTTCTCGCTCTAGGTTGCGAACACCGGACTCACGGGTGTACGAGGTGATAGTCTTATCAATAACCTCGTCGGATAGATTTACCTGGCCATCATTGAGACCATTGGATCGAATCTGCTTCGGGATCAGGTGTTGCTTGGCAATGTGCCTCTTCTCAACAGTAGTGTACCCAGATAGGGAGATGGTCTCCATGCGGTCAAGCAGAGGCGCCGGAATTGTGTCCAGGGAGTTAGCGGTAGCAAGGAAAAGAACCTTGCTCAGGTCGATAGGAATGTTGATATAGTGGTCGGTGAAAGTGTGATTCTGCTCAGGATCAAGAACCTCCAACATGGCGGCGGCCGGATCGCCTTGAAAGTTGGCGCCACCGACCTTGTCAATCTCATCGAGAAGAATGACGGGGTTTGCAACGCCGACCTTCTTCAACCCATTGACAATCAACCCAGGCATGGCTGCAACGTATGTACGTCGGTGGCCCCGGATTTCCGCCTCGTCTCTGACACCACCAAGGGAGATCCTGTGGAATTTTCGGCCAAGCGAGGCAGCAACAGACCTGGCTAGACTCGTCTTGCCAGTTCCAGGGGGTCCGACCAGAAGCAAAATAGGGGACTTGTCGGTCATCCGCTTGGACTTGAGGATCTCGAGGCGGTTCTCTAACGCAGCTTGTTCAGGTTCTGACAGCAGGGGGACTTCCGTCTCGACATCACCAACTGCCGAGGCGTCCAACTCCCTGGAAATTCCTGAGATCTGGCGTTCAACACCCGAGTTTGCGGATTGTTTCAAGCGCAACACAGCCAAATATTCCAGCAATCGCTTCTTGATTCGCTCCAGGCCGTAGTGGTCCTCGTCCAGCTGCTTCCTGGCTTTCTTCAGTGTGTCCGGTCCAAGCTGATCCTCTGTCACCTTAGTCCACGGGATTTCTGACAAGTTTTCCAGATAAGTCCGGCAAACACCGTATTCGGCGTTGGCAGGGTTCATCTTTTGCAGGCGTTTCAATTCCTTGTCCGCAACTTTCCGAGCTTCGGGACTAAGCTGCGCATCATTCAACTTCTGATGTAGCTCCTCTACTTCATTGGGCTCCTTCTCTTCCTCATTGCCACGCCCGCCCGGGGGTGTCATGCCGGAGAGACCTGAAATTGCACGTTTTGCAAGAATCTCACGTTCACGCGGGTCAATCTGACTGATTTCCATCACGGAGGAGGGGAATGAAGTTGAGCCAAGCGAGGTGACCCTGACGCTACTCTTAATATGCTGTATCTGTCTGGTGAGGATCTCAACAACCCTCTCCAGCCGCTCCCTAACATCCAGCGAGTTGAGGATACGTAGCTTTTCCTCAAAGCTTGCGTCAGATACGTCTGCCATGAAATCGGCCAATTTCCCGGCCTGTGTCAGTTCGGTCCTTGATATATAGAGCTCAAACTTTCGGGCAACGAGTGGCGAAAGACGAGAGGAGGCTGCCGACAGCAATGAGGAGAAGCGTAGGAGAGTTAGTAGTTCTCGGGAGAGCTGCCTCAATTGTTGGAAAAGTTCAGCGAATTCAGCGTCACCTTGGCCAGAGTCTAGAAGCAGAGGAAGTATGATTAGCCATGTGGTCTCTTTGATTTTTGTCCTTGGAAACTAACTCGATTCATCATTAATGAAGACCTCGGCCTCAAAGTATGGCCGGTCACGCAGGACCTTCTTGACAGAGAATCTTTGCGAGCCTTGAACAAGCAAAAATGGTTCGGAATAAATCCGGCGCTGAACCCCGATGACTTTGCCAATAGTTCCACAATGGAACAGGTCCTCCTTGCGTGCCTGACCAGCGTCGATCAAATCATATTCCTCCTTTTGCTCCGAGTCCATGTTGTCACCTTCGAGGAGCTGCTTTCCATCCTGGCTCAGGGATGGTGATTTAAGTGGAACACAGCCGAAGGTGACAGCATTCGTATCTCGCTTCAAAGGCTTGTCCGCAAGTGACGAAAGAAGATTGGCGAGATCGGGACGGTTAGAAACTGGAATGCGTAGAGTCACACCGGGTAACAAAACCGAGCCCTTGGGAAGTGGTACGAGTGGAATCTTTGTGTTTCTACCGTTGGATCCCATCCTGTACGGGCCCTCGTGATGATGAAAGTGGGTGGCAAAGATGGGAGACTAAGGTGTATAATATATAAGTGATGTAAGATAGAGGGAGGAAGATTGAAAGTGGACTGTGGGAAGGTAAATGGATGAAATGAAGAGAGATGGAGAGGTTCTAGAATCACCTATGGACGTAGATGGGAAGTCCGGGGGAGTTTAAGAGATTAAGGCGTGATGTCTCCCAATGTCCATGCTCCGAAGCCGAGGTTGTGACGATGACGGGGAAGAATTCACAGAAGTTGCTTTGAAAGGTTTGTAGTTTATATCTCATTGAATAGATCTTAAAATATTGCACTTCCAGTCTGCTTTTGTTCACTTGTTTTTATCTCTTAGATTATATGCACCTCTTGCTATACTCCAGAGACTGAATTACCTGACCCGCACGTGTCCCGTGATCGGAGGTCTCCATCTCCACTTTCGCCTCTTCGCCTGACTTTCCTCGGCAGGTATCCTGCGGGCACAGCTCATACAACGTCTTACACACCTTAACATCTCCCAGCCTCTTCTCTCCATTCCCCCTTCTATTGTTCCTCAAAATGGCTACCCCCGCCCCCACCCAAAAGACAATCACTATTGGCACCCGAAAGTCTAAACTGGCTCTTCTCCAGACAGACCTGGTCCTCGAGGCATTGAAGAAGGCATTCCCGCAATATGAATACAAGGTTTTCTCCAAGGAGACAGCCGGTGACCTGAACACCACTATCGCACTGCGAGATTTTACCACCAAGAATCTGTGGACGGAGGAATTGGAGGAACTGATGATCGGCGGACAGGTCGATGTTATCGTGCACTCGCTGAAAGGTTTGATAACGCCCCCAATATCAAACAGCGTGGCTGTTTCAAATGAAAAAAATGGCTGACGTTGTCTTCTCGGAAAATATCAGATGTCCCCACTACTCTCCCCTCTTCCTGTAAGCTAGGCCCGAGCATGCCCCGTGAAGATAGCAGGGATGTTCTCGTGGTGAAACAAGGCTTGCCATACAAGAGTCTGTCAGAAATCCCCGCAGGGTCGGTGGTTGGAACCTCGTCTATTCGCCGCACAGCACAGTTGGCCCGGAAATACCCCCACCTCAAGGTCCAGGATGTCCGTGGCAATATCGGCACTCGCCTATCAAAGCTAGACGCTGAAGATAGCCCTTATACCTGTGTCATTCTGGCCGCCGCTGGTCTGCTGCGCCTTAATTTGGCCGATCGAATTACCCAATATTTGGACTCTAAGAAC